GGCTGCAGGAGTGAGCCAGCTGTGCAGCTGCAGGTGGAAATATCAATTCCTTGGCATCAGGTTCAGGTAACAGGCAATTTGCAATTGTCACACATATTCTGCCTTTTCCCTTTTTTTCTCCCTTTTCCATTTTTTGTGTGTCTGTGGTTAATTGCAAGGGGGAGGACAGGAGACCTTATCTCTCCTGACTAGTGGTGGCAAAACTGAAAAATCGTTTTCATTACCAGGTGGAAGGCTTTTCACATGCAAATTATCGATATCATTGTGAATGTGGCATTTTTATTAATACAAACCAGCTTATCTGACCAAAAAGAAAAGAAATATCATTCTTGTTTTATATCAAACATTTTGCTCTGACAACAGCGAGTCATATTTGATGAAATATTGCATGGATCGCACCATTTTTACAATTTAGTGCAAGAGAGAAAGAAATAAAAAGGACTAATGGATGGGGTGGGGTTTGGGGATTTTTTGATGGATTTGGGGTTGGGATTTTTTTGTTTTGCTCTTTTTATCTTTAAGACATTTCTCCTAAATGCCAGTCAAGAGATGCAAGTTCACATAAACATTTAACTTCTTTTCTTCAACATCAAAGAAACTGATCTGGTTTTATAGATGTATTTTTATCTCTCTATTGTGTGCACTTCCCCTTCAGACACTAGGAAAATAAGGTCACATTCCCTACCGAGTCCATCCTTTTCTATTGATTTTACTTTCTTAAAATCCTAATAGAGCTTGAAATTAATACAGTTTAATTTTCTTCTCCCTTTCTTGTAAACCAACAAAGCTTTCTTATTGCTGCCACACAAGTCTGGGTACAAAGAAGATGGGAGACTTGGCATCCTCCTTCCAATGGCAAAAATCCTTGAAAAGAGAAAATCAGGAGGGTTTTGGCTCTTTATCCAAGGATGTGAAGGCTCTCCCTGTCTAGAAGATGAGGAGCAGGGGATGCTTCTTTACCCATTTCAATAGGGGATGGATCACAGAAACTTATGGAGCCCTGTAATGTAGCAAAATTCAGGTTCAGGTCTAAATTTCTCTACTAAAACCAGGTCTAAATTTCTCTGCTTGGGCTGCAACTCAGTGCTCTCTGCTAATTAAAAAAAAAAAAAAAATCATATTCCCCAGCCTGGGACAAACAGCTTCTCCTTCAGGAGCCAGGCGAATGCACTCCAGTAATGGGCATAGCCACTTCAGGATCCAGCTGGAAACCATTTACCCAAGGGTAGATGAAGCCAGGTGAGGAGGCTGGCAGCTCTGGAAGCTGCTGAGCTGTTTCCAGCACCCTCCATCCATGAGCAGAGCTGCTGGGCTGGCACAGTACTGTCCCCTGCTCAGCGTGGAGACCAGCAAGAGCATTCAGGAGAAGATGAAGGGCATCAAACCTACTGAATCAGCATCCTTGCCTCCTGCCAGTGAACCTGCTGGGGAGGAAAAGACACTTCATGGCCCTTGGGGGTCACCTCTGTTTCGTGGGAGGGTTTTGCTGGCGGAAGCAGCGAGAGGCGGGTTGGGTGTCGGCAGTGACGCGATGGAACACGACAACCCTGGCTGGCCCCGGCTCCTGTGCCCGTCTGCCACATCAGAGCAGTGCTCAGCTGTATAAAATGGGCTGTAAACTTTGCTCATTTTGGCTGACAGATACGATAAAGGTTATGTGTGCTTTACAGCATTACGAATTTGATGGAGAAAGGTCCCCTGAGACTTCTCGCTGCACCAGGTTCTAGCATTTGGCACAGCATAGCAGGAACCTCATGGGTCATGTTCCCTGTCCCTCCTGTGCTGGTTCAGGAGTCACTACCCACCTCAGTGATGCTTCTCACATAGATTAAAAGCATTTTAATTATGCATTATTTCTGCACTCTTTGTGTATCTGTGCCTTTCATACGCACATCTTAAATTCATCGCTTCTCTGCCAGTTGTTTGTAAATGTCCCCAGGTGTTTAACTCTTATTCTCTGAACCCTCTGAGCTATTGCTGGTGAGTGTGGCTATTACATATTCCTGATATTTCTCAAAGGTCAAAAGAAAATGTAAAAATGCCATTTCTTTTCTCTTCTCCTTACAAAGCAGAAAATGCAATATTGTTCTGGTGTAGTTACTTTAGCTGCAATGCTAACATTTTTTTTTTTTTTAAGTAGACCTTATTGTATTTACTGCAAATGTTCTGGATACAGAATTACTTCCTCAAATTATTAGGAACTTGAAGATATAATCAGCTTTTATTCTGTTTTAGAAGATATTACTCTACCAAAACAGTCTATTTGCGACAGTTTTCTCTCATCTTCCTGCAACCCATCTTACAAATGAGACATAAAATTGAGGCTCTGGATGCTTATGGACCCAATCCTGCAACATTTATGCACCTGTTTAAGCTGAATCATGTAAAGATTCATGGTGGATTGAATGTGCAGAACGACTAACACTTGAGGAACTATGGCAATTGCTCCAAAGCAGTCTGCAGTTCTTCAGGATAACGAGCAATGCATGAAACTGGTGCATTATCAGGGTGGATTTTCTGCTCCTCCCCCAAATCTGGCCAGGATGCTGTAAAGGATGGACTTGGAGTGAATGCAGAGTAAACTGTCCTCTCTGTAGTCAGTATTATTATATTAATTTCCTCTTATCACTGCAGTAAGACTCCTGACTGTGCAGAATTTAGCCCTCAGCAGTGCATCGAGATCTTGAGGTTTCCATTGCAGAGTCACACTTGGTGGTGTTATACAGCTTTGTTAATTGATTACAAAATAATTCAGCAAGCTGCACTGTTCCTGCATTTTCTATCCAGCTTTCTGCCTCCTCACCTCAAACCAGCTGCACTTCAAGGTCCTGGTCCCTGTGTATGAAGCCAAATCAAAGAATGACCTTTTTTTTTGACCTACATCTTTCAGAGGAATAAAGCAACAGATGACACCAAGTAGAGGATTCACAGAGCTCTTTGTGTGAGCCCCTAGCAATGGAGCTCTCCAGTGAAGGACATCAAGCTTAACTCTCAGCTCACCCTGCAAGGAGGATTTTTTTTTCAATTTCAGTTAATAGCAGCATTTCCATTGACTTACACAGGAGCAGAGCCAAATCCCAGCGTGTCTTTTAAGAAAAGCTACTCCTCAGCAGAAGCAGCATCTCAGCACATAGGATGCCTTTGCCCCTGAGAGTCCTTGTCCAGGCAAACCAACTCCCACCGTGCTCTGAATGATTGTTCCTCTTATTCCTCAGCCTTCATCGAGATTTCTGTTCTTGCACATTGACACTGTGATTGGCAACTGAAACACAAAGATCAGACAAAAGAGGCTGGAACACCACCTGGGATGGAGCTGAGAAAGATGCAGGAGCAGATATCTCCATCTGTATTCCTGAGGATGTGTAGGAGGAGAAGCCAGCTGCGGTGTGGTGCTCCCGAACCACAGGGGACTGTGCCCCGCTGCATCTCGGGAAGCCCCAATGTCAGTCCCTGCACCAGCAAGGTCACCTCAGAGCCTGTTTCCTCATCCTCAGGCCAGTCACACTGCTGTGAAACTCCAGAACAGGGTGGGCAAAAGGAGTCCAAGATTAATAAAATGGGAGGAAAATGAGGCTTTTCTCAGATTTATGCAGAAGGTAAATTATGGGGCTACTTATGCCACCTAAAATCGCCTTCTCCCCAGGGTCCTGAATATGCTCTATTATGAAAGCTGTATACTGGAGTGTAAATTTGCCATATATACACTACAATATAATTGCACCAGACTCACCTGTGTTGTATTTTTTACCTATAAATGTAATGGTGATTTGTTTTCTCCTCTTTCTACAAGAGTTTCAGAATCCCCAGGAAAGCACGTGGGCCATACCACACTCATTCCACCATTTAATCCAGATAAAGAGAGAAGTCTTGTGCTGAGTGTGCCTCTCCATACACTATGCTGGTGTTAGCACCCCTGTACATATGGACAGCTTTATCCTGGTGCAAGGCACCTCGGCAGGAATCACAAACACTGACAGTGTATCCCACTGTACTTCTGAATTGATGCAAAAAGCCGTGCACAGAAGGGAAAATGGCAGCTTTCCAAGTGGCCCCAGTTAATAGCTCTGTTTTGCTTAATGGTGCCTCCCATTCAGACTAAAGATGCTGTTTTAAATATGTAAGCAATTAGTATCTCTCGCTCTCAACACATCTGTGCTGCTTCTCTCTGCTGCATTATAAATCTATCGCGTGCCTCTCCAGCTCGGCAGTGCATATATCACCAGATATTCTGATTTTCAGCAACTTTCTGCTCTAAAAGAGTTGTGCTTGGATTTGGTGATGCTCTGCCAGGCTGGCCTTGCCTAAACCCTGACACAGCCAGCCTCTCCATGTCTGTCACTGGACTAACAGGTAACAGGGATATAGAGAAAGCATCTCTTGGTTGCTTTTTGGCAGTTCTTTGGTCCAGCCAGTACTCACTTTAGTGTTTTTCCCAGCTTTCACACACTTCCTATGTAGAAACTGCAGGTTTTCTCTCCGTAACAAAACCCAAGGGTGCCTGTAGCCTGCAGGAGGATGTTTGCAGGGGTTGCAAGGTGGTTGAGATGCAGCCAAGCATCTCAGAAGCAGAACACCTACCTTGCAGTTTTGTTCTTAAATAAATTCTGCCCGCACAAACTCCAGCGGGATCTAGAGTCACGGCAGGACTAGTGCGGTTATGACGGTCAGTATTTATAGGAGCGTAAGAAATCACTGCTGCTAAAATAGCGATTGATAGTAATAGAACTGGGCGTGATAAGTTATTCCGCTTTTTTTTTCTTTTTAAGGAGGAGAAGGTAACAGCCACCGCACCGCGCGCGGGAGTTCCCCTTGTCTGAATTTATTACAGTTTTTGTCCTTTCGGGGAGAAGCCGCCCCGCCTGCGCGGTGCCCACCCCCTCCCCGGCCAGGACCGACCCCGCCACACCGCGCGGTGGGCGCAGGGGAGGAGACGGCACAGCGGCGAGGAGCGCAGCCCGCCGGCAGGGCTGGCAGGGCTGGCAGGGGCTGCCGGGGGGCTCGCACCCCGCGGAGCGGCCCAGCCCGGCCCAGCCCCGGAGCCATGCCGCTGCCGTGCCGGGGCTGGACGCTGGCGCTGCTCACGCTGCTCGTCGGTTTCCTCATCTTCGCCGATATCTCGGAGATCGAGGAGGAGAGCGGGTAAATCGCCCGTCCCCGCGCGGGGGAAGGGGCGCGGAGCGGTGCTGGGGACCGGGGAGGAGGCGGCGGCGGAGGGGGCGGGCGCCCGGACAGTTTCTTTGTCTCCGGCTCTCCCGGTTTTTGCCGTGCCCAAGTGGGAAGGGAGCGCGCTGCGCTCCCGCGCTGCTCCGCGGGGCCGGGGGCAGCCCCGGGCGGGACCGCCCCGCCGCCGGGCAGGACGGGGCAGGATGGGGCACGGGCCGGGGGCAGCCACGCCGGGCTGGGCAGGGCTGCGGGAGCAGGTACCTCTCCCGCTAGAGACGCGGTGGTACCGGTCCGAGTAGGGATGCTGGAGCATGTACCGGTCCCTTTAGGGATGCTGAGCCACCTGTCCGGGTAGGGATGCCCGAGCAGGTACCGCCCCGTTACAGACGCTGAGGTACCGGTCCGGGTGGGGATGCTGGAGCAGGTACCACTCCCTTTAGAGACACTGAGGTACCGGTCCAGGCAGAGATGCTGGAGCAGGTACCGCTCCCATTAGAGATGTGGAGGTCCTTTTAGAGAGGCTGAGGTACCAGCCCAGCGATGCTCTGTCAGGTACAGGTCTGGGTTAGGATAGCGGAGAGGGTACCAGTCTGATTAGAAATGTTGGAGCAGGTCCTGGTCTGGAGATAGGGATTTTGGCATAGGCAGTGCTCAGGTGCTGATGGAGCAGGTCCCTAAGTGGGATGTTGCTGTGAGTGGTCTGCTGGACAGGGATGCTGGGGCAAGTTGCAGCCCAGGGGGCTTAGATGCCACTGCTGGTCCAGATGGGTGTGGTGGAGAGGGCACCAGCTGATGGGAGTGGTGGATAACAGACCAGTCTGCAGGTGGATAAGGGACCAGTCTGTGGGATAGGAGAGACTGAGCAGGGATCAGTTGGGTGGGGGTGATGGAGCAGAGAGCTTAACCCACTGGTGTGTCCCTGTGGGATGTGTTAGGGGCTTCATGATCACCTCTTAGTGATGGCTGTCGTGGTTGGTGTTTACCTGCAGGTGCCATGTATGGCAGGGGCTAAAGCAGCCCCTCAGTCTGAGGAGCAGCACCCTTCCCAGCCCATAAACCCCATCTCTGAGGTCTGCTTGGAAATTTAGGGTATGAAAGGAACAAATGCAAAGAGGAGGGTTTGCATAAACTTGAGGAACTTGCTACAGCAATGTGGAAAACCAAATAATTTTGGTAATGAGGTGTGCACTCGGGGCACCCAAATGACGAAAAGGTCTTTCTGTGTGGAACCAGCTGGCTTTGTCTAGTGTGTTACACCGAAACAAACACCTTTATGAGATGATAAATGAAATGCAGTGATGTTTGTTTATTGTTTCATTGTTATGTTATGCTGGGTGCCACAGGCAAGAAGTGCTTAAAGGTCAGTAGCCTTGTCCAGAAACATCCAGCACCAGACTGTGGGTTACCAGGGTAGATGAATTGTTGCTCTGCAATGAGCTGGCACTATCTATATAATAATAAAGGAAATTAAAATCTTCTGATGCGTCCTCCCCATTGGACAGGCTGCTCTGATCCCCTTGCTTTCTTCCCATCTCCTTTTCCGTCTTCTGTTCTTTCTCCTCTCTCCTCTCCTATCTGCTAGATCTACCCACTAGAACTTGCTGTGCCCTTATTGAAAATCTATTCTGTTACTCGCTTGTCCTGTTTTTCACCCTGGTTCATTAGGGATTCCCAGTATTGTGTCTTTTTTCTCCTCTCTTTTCTATACATTGTATGGAAATTGGCTGTTTGCTGGCTGCTTATCTCCAAACCCTGGCATCTGAGTTTGTTTCTGTAGTTCCTCCAAGGAAGTACTGCCAAGCGGTGCGGCGGCAGAGACGGCAACAGGGTCAGATGAGTTCTGTAGGAACAGCGAGCAGCTTGTTCCACACAGCATCAGAATTGGTAGGGCAGGAGGGAACTGGCAGAGGAGAGGAACAAATAGGTCCAGGACCCAGGGTGAAGGAGGGTCCCGAGTCCCAAGCCCTCTGATGCACATGATGGCCAGCCCTTCCACAGATCAGTGCCCACATCAGCTGTGCTTCCCATAGGGGGATAAACAGAGCAAAGGTGGGACGCTTCTCTATTAATTATATGTTATTTAATCATTAACTCGGGCAAACTGAACCTTTCTCTTGCTTTGTTCTCTCCCACCCACTTTTCCCCATTGCGTCTCTGGAGTGTTTGATGAACTCCTGCATCCCAAACCCAGTAAGGGACCAGACACTGCTCACCTGGCACAGCAGTCTGGCACAATGGGCACTTCATCCCTTTGTGCTGCCGTGGTGCCAGGAATGGTGAGCACGGTGCTCTGACCTGGCTGAAATGTATTGCTGTGGTGACATGGAAAAGCAGAGTGCCTGTTCTGCAGCAGGTCAGGGGATGACAGAGGGTTTTCAACTGTGGGAGCCACATAATAGCATTTTTTGTTAACAGGTCCTGTAGGTAAAGGGACTGTGTGACAGCAAAAGTGCAAAGCAGTGTAGAGAAGAGGTCCTTCCGAAGTTTTCCAGGAGCTCTCTGTGTGTCCAGCAGGGAACAGCTCCTCTCTCTGAGAGGTTTAGGAGGTGCTGTATATTTGTGCAGCTTTCCCCCACGTCAGGAATGTTTGGCTGTTGTATTGTGTGGCTCAGCATCCTCCTTCACACCCCCCAGCCCCCTCGCTTTGGTCAGTGCAGCAGGGAAGGAAGGAGCTGCCCAGCTGTCCCCTGGCAGGCTGGTGGCACTGAGGGGGGTGGGAAACACAGGCAGGTGCAACTCTTTTCTTCTTTTTCCTTGGCATCGAAACACTCTCTAATTATTGTGAGGAGCGAACAGCTTGCCCACTTTTACACATACCCTGCCCCCTGCCTGTGATTTGGATTGTCTTTGGAAGAATGTTCCTCGTATGGGTGGGAGTGGGGGAGAACAGATTTCTCTCACCTACAAACACCTACAAATTTCAGAAAGAAAACACAAAACGTTCATTAGGTAAAAAAGTACGACAGAGTATAATACTACTGGCAAAAGGACAAAAAAACCCAAAGCCATGCTGTTTCTCTGGACAAGAAGTTCCCTGGCTCGCGGGTGAAGGGAGATAGGAGCCGAGGGCAGCTGGAGCTGCTCTGCCTGTCACAGGCTTCTGAGAAAGATGTTTGTGCCTTAAGCAGTCCCATCTCGCTCCTCTAGACATCCTCATACCACCTCCCACAGCCAGGAGATGCTGAAACAAAGAGGTGTTGGGGCAAGGATGAGAATTCAGCAGTTCTTGCTCGTGATGCTGCGTCGCTCTTGCTTAGCCCGTTCCTCCCACCCTGCAGCCGCCCCTGTGCGCGGGTTTTCCCCCTGCTGCATCCTTGTCACTGTCTGGACGTGTCACCTACGGCTGTGTGGCTTGGGGTGGGATGCCGGCGGGATGCAGGCGGGATGCTGATGGGATGCTGGCGGGATGCCGGCGGGCACGGACACGCTCGCCGGCGTGTGCTGCTCCGTGAGGTATTGCTGTGCTGAGCGGTCTTGGCACTTTGTTTCCGAGCAGCCAGCTGGTTCCGGGCTGCTGAACTTTTCCTGCAGCCCGGTGGCGCCTGCGTTTCCATGCACCGCTCCCGCTCTTTGTTTCGCTGGCAGGAAACAAAAGACGCGCTCCCGGCCGCCTCGGGGAGCGCTGATGCCAGCGCAGCCATTCCTTCATCCGCGCCGGGATGGGGCAGCGCCACAGACCTGTCCCCGCAGAGGAAAACAAAGGGTTTGGCATCCAGTGGGGTGACTGTTGTCGGCGGTGAGGAGGAGAATTCTGCTCCGGTTTAAGGGGACTCTCTTTGTTGCTGTGCGCCTGCTGTTGCAGTTCTGCAGGGGTCCGGCTGTGTCCTGGCTGTCTGTAGAGGGAGCTGGTGACCCGCTGCCACCAGGTGACTTCTCGAATTAGCGTCCGAGCCATCTTAGGGAGCACTTGACACTTGGTAATGGGTTGGTCTTAATATGAGTCAACCTTTTTCCCTGCTAGCCCAGACCACATGCCTTTCCATCCTGATTACAGCAGGAATTATATTCTGCTCGCTCTAAGTGACGAATAGCAGTCTCTGATATTGCTGGCCTGCCTGCCTGGGAGCTTGTCAGTAAATTGCCACTTTTTCCTCATGTGCCCTTTTCCAACACCTGCCTTTCAAAGGCTCGGGAAGAGAGATTTTGTGTCCTTTATGGAGGCTGCTGTGCTTGCTGTGAGCAGGCTGTAGTCATAATGCTTCTTGTCAGGGTTGGTGCATGGGGTATAAATGTCCTGCTTACATCTTCCAGGCTGTGATTTACTGCACCCAGCCCAGAGTTAGTCTAAGACCTGCTCTCCAGCAGAAAGTTTTGCTGGGGAAAGTGCTGCATTCTAACAACAAGCGCTTTTGTGCCCTCACACAGTGGGTGTGCACAAGCCAACAATTATCCAGGTTGGGCTGGAGGAGGAATAGCTCTCTGCAGGAGAGGAGCCCATAGACATCCTGGAAGTATTCATGTGCATGGAGCCAGAGGAGACCTTTGTACTCCTTGGGTATGGCAGGGCTCTAATAAAAGCTCCGTGACACATCAGGCTGGAAAATAAAAGCAATGTTGGAGCACTGATTTGAGTAAGGAATACTCAGGGTAGGCTTTGAATGCAGCTCTTCTGACAGTAAAGCAGCCAATTTCAGGTTGGCTGCAGAGGTCCCTCTGCTCCCCATGAAACTCTCCCTCACCTCCTGCAGCCCTGCAGGGGCAGGCTGTCACAAAAACATGTCCAAACCCCTGTGCTCCTGCCTGGAGCAGTTTGGGAAATGAATGTCCACGTTAAGCTGAACTCTGAGGGAATGGTGGGAATAGTGGAGAGCTGGGATCAGCAGGATGGAAAGCACTCACAGACCCCCAGGTGAAACAAAAAAGAAAAGCCAGTGCTAAGGGACTTCAGTCTGTTGAAAAGTTACTCCTCAGCCCAGCATTGGTTGTCAGCAGCTTACAAGACCCACAGGGAGGCAATTTCTGACCTTGCTGGTGAG